ACATGTAGAGAAAAAAACGTCCTTTTGTAGCAGCGTCGACTCTCTTGCATGCCATAAACCTTTCATACGAATCTGAATTGCAGTAGGCCATCTTCACCGCGAACTCGTTACTCGATTTGCGTTACCGCAACGCGATCTGGGCTATCGACCCCTTCGCGACGCATCGCCAGTCCATTCCATCACCCTTATCGGACCCGCTCTCTCGCGTCCTCATATCGGATGACAGCGGTTAAGGGCCGAATATTCGCGAATTATCGATCGCGTGCCGAGGTCGCGCGCGCTACCTCCGTCGCCGTTCATCGTCATCGTCATCGTCAATGATTCCACTGTGGATTTCCGGTCCGATCGGGAATTTACCGCGTGATCCCGCGACGTGCATCTCGTTCCTCCAAGTTTCGGGGAACGCGGATATCGCCGTCGTTGAGTGTGGGGGGGGGGGGGGGGGCGGGGGCAGGGACCCCCTCCCGATATTTCTCTATTTTGAGTCCAACGACACCGTCGTTGCGCCAGCAGCTACGTGCTCGTCGGGTCCTTGACTTCTCTAGGCTATACGAACGCCGGTCGCCGTTCGAGAATCTAGCCGCGCTGATACATGAGGATAAAACGAGCAGCAGTAGTGTGGGCCGCGGATCGGAACGACTTTGTCGGGGCAGAAACGCGCCATCGGATTGCTATCGCGGTATTTTCATTCTTATTTACATTCTCACTCCTCGCCGGAGACGACGAGTCAGAATATGACTACCGTACCGTAATTTGTCTCCTCGGTATCATTGAATATTATGGGAAACATCATCAGAATATTTTCTTTTAGAATGATCATTACACACGTCACTTGTTGTTCAGCGACTAATTGTTTATTTCAGATTTTGCAAGTTGCATTTTATGTTAATTTGATTGCTTAGAAGTGCGAGTGGATTGAAAATGGCGAATTAGTCGAACACTATAGGCTGAGTGTTTCTATATCGTCCGATTAATTTGTATCCAGACCCAGCTCGATTGCACTTGCATACGGTAATGCTGAACGTCGATTTTGTTAACAAGCTGCACTGCAGCTGCGCCACGTCACGATGACTCGCGAATTTATGATTATTTAATGCAGCCACGAGCAAAATGCGCCATCGCTTGCGATAATTTCATTTAGCCGTTAATGACCTGGATAATGTTGGACGATAGTAAATAAATTTCGACACGCTGGACATCTGTAATTGACGCGTAAACCAGAATACCTTGTTAGCACTATCAAAATTATTATCAAGCCAGTCCGCGGATTCGAAAAAGTCATTTTTTTTTTCTACATAAGACGAGCGGAAAAGTGTAGGTTTAAAGAGGCTCTGCTGTTTCCTGTGACAAAGAAATACCTGATCCATTTCAAGAGACGTAAAGAAAAATTCAACGAAAGGTTTTTACAAGTACCTACTTATTCCGGCGTATTGGAATTAGAAAATCGAGACTGAAGTAAAATGAAACGAAGTCTCCTCACGGTCAAGACGGTAAAGACGATCCAATCTCCGGGATCAATTTTCGAGAGACTCGCAAAGCGATTTCGACATGGACCAAGAATACACTCGAGCGTGTATCTGCGCGACGTATCTCCGCGCTCCCGAACCAGTCCCGGCGACCTTAATACGCGTAGACGATGTCCTCGCGGGGTATCCTTGAATTGTACGGATACGACCGCGAGAGAATCTCTCCCTCTCTCTCTCTCTTTCTTTCTCTCATCCCGACAATGCTCGCGCCGCGAGACTCTGTCTCTTTCTCATAATCCTCATCGTCGAAGTCGGACCGCGATGCACAAGTCGGTCGCCGCGCCTTATCCGCAATTCTCATCCTTGGCCCAGCTTTATCTTCCGACTTTGACCTCCTCGCCGCCGACGCGACATATCGCGTTGCACCCGCGAAATTACATGGAATTAATTGGCTTAACGCTTAAACCCGAAAGTGCAGGAGTGCGTTCTCCGCCGTCGACGATGATACGGGGAAAATTAGTAACCTGTTGTTTGCCGTCTCCGTGTTTGCCGCAGTTTCACAGGGGAACTCGGCTGCTTGCGCTGCAACTTGGAGTACTTAGCGAGCGTGGCAGCGTGGAGAGAAACCGAAGGTCGAACTAAATTAAATTTAACGGGGCGATTGTGCAAATGAATGCTCTAGCGAGGAATCCTCGAGGGCAGATTTATCTCTAGCTTGCATTATCTTTAAAATGACACGGAAAATGCTTTAAATGAATAAAAAAGTGAGAGAGACAGAATAAACACTAAGTAACTAATAAACAGTCTAAAATATTTCATAGTTCAGATTATGGAAATGATTATTTTTTTGTATATTGCAGTATTTAATATATGTATTAAAAAAGTATCGTTAAATGTGATAATTTAATTAATCATATTATTGTTCGAAATAACTGTTGCCAGTTTTTTTTTCCTTGAGATAACTTATTATACAGAGGCAAAGGTATTACTCGGTTTATTTAATGCTCATAATAATGTATGACGGCTTCGGAAATATTTACGACGTTACCGCGGATGGCGAAGGTTTCTTTTTATTATTGTGCGGCGAAATTGCGGTGATCCGCAACGATTGCCGAAGAACCGTATTAAATGGTTAATGAATTCGACGGCAGCGGTTCGGCACTCGCCACGTATCGGTGTGCGCAAGCACACCAATCGATTGTCGCGTGACGTCATTCACAGAGAACCGGCACTCGTCTTCAACTTTGGCCTTTCGACGCCCCGATATTCAATTCATGGCTTGTCTACACGTGTCGGCCGAATAATTGCGTTTTTACGAAGTCAATTAAATCGAGAAGCCGTGAAGTGTTACTAAATAAAATAAATTACACACGGTAGCCCGATTCCGTTTCTCGGCACGTTGTATAATTATACGATCTGTAGCAATTAAATGTTTCACGGTTAATGATGCATTTATTTTAGAATAGTATTTATATATTACTTTGCAATTTTGTTCATTTACAATTATATATTTTGTTAAAATCTTGTGATTATATTTGCTTCTGTCATAATTATATCACATAATATTTAAATATTGTATTATTACTTTATAACATTTTTAAATGTTGTATAATTTATAAATTTGTTTTTGGAAATGCTCATTGACAAACTTAGTTACAGTAACAATATTTTTCTTGAGCGAGTATCCGGCAAGGATAGTTCTCGAGAAAGTTGGCATTACATCGGTTTGCACGTTTGTACGAACTTTGGTTTCCTACTTACATATCCACGGAAGTTCTAGCATTTAACGACGTCTGACTGATAATATTACGCTGGAAAATTGCGGAAAGTCGAATATCGACGTTATTAACGATCGCGTTGCGTGTAATATAATGTGTAAATTTTGCTTAAAAAATTAACGCAGTGTTAAACAAGCACACTAATCAGAATTGTAAAGAATGCCTTTGTCGTTATAATTAGAATTGTAAAGAATGCCTTTGAATTTAGCAACAGGTATTAGAAGCTAAAATTTATCTTTAAATTCTTCATTTCTAATTTAATCGCTTGTTTACCAATTGTGTTACATATACATGTTGTCGCATTAGAATGAACGCAGAGCTGCAGTACATGTGCTTCTAACGGTAATCAATAATCGCAATAATCACAATAATAATGGTAATCACGCTATTGGAATGTAGGTACCAGGCTTTATCATCGAATAATTGATAGGCTAACAGTTTACATCGCAGAGATATAGGATATTGTAGGGCAGAAAATTAGAAGATTTATGAGCTAATGCACCCGTCATGTATCTATATCGATCCCAAAGATTGAGAAGGGAAGCAAAAAATGAATCGATCCTTTGTTGGGAACTATTCTTTACGCGCAAAAGCAACAAATGTGCATCGATCACGGCGTTTCAATAACGATTTCATAATTAAATACAATGCCGCGCCGAGTGTGAAGAAACATCTCGCGTGCTAGCTTTGTTCGTCGCGAGGCCCCATCCGCTCGACGCGGCTCTCCAATCAGATCGCCGCGAACGCGCTCAGATACTGCGCCCATCTCTTCTCAGCATGCGTGAGTACGAGCGAGGCGCGTTTAACCTACATAAAGTGGAATCGTGATTGGGCGAAGTAAATGGCGAACGATCTCTTCGGATAATCGATATGCAAGCACGGTATCGCTATTCTCGCGCGGAGAAAGCCGGTTTCGTTTATTCGTTCGTTCGTTTGCAAAAAAAAAAAGAACAGGCTATTCCGACGCGTGTAGCTCTAGCGCTGTAACGATTTACACGCGCGATCCCTTGGCTTCGCGCACGCACGTTGGGCAATCTCGCTGAAAGTTTGATAACCTTTTTTTTTATTAAGCGATCCCCGAATTGATACGGTGCGAATGTTGAAAAATGCATAACGCAAAGCTAAGGGATAAATCTGAACGAATGGGGGGATTAAAGGGACTCAACGTAGCTTACTCGTGCTCCCACGATTATGAACTATTGAAGTATAACGCTTTGGCATTATCCTATCAACGGTGTGATTCATGCTGCTCTCCTATTAACACTGTATATAACGCTCTTAACGTATCTGTAGCTCTAAGAATTGCAGCGCAATTTTTGCAAATGTAGAACACAAATCACAGATATATAATCGCATGTCAGAAATCATATCGATTGCTAACGTATATAGAAATATAAATTGAACGATTTATCGGAAAGATTTGTATAAAGGTCTAAATATTGCAGAGTGTAAGATTCTGTATAATATCAGAAATTTTATGTGAAAAGTAGTAATAGCCTATTTCAAACTTGATTTCAAATTGATTTACTGTCATATGAATATAGTAAAAATTATTTTAAAAATATATATACGAATCATGTATGAATATACTCTACTCCTTATTACGAAGGCTCTGAAATTCACTGTCCAAAAATATCTTTTATAACGGGACGGCGCGCGCGGCGCGATCGTACTAGCGCTTTACAAGGCAATATTGAAAATTAGAAGTGGAGGACGATCAGTTAGGAAAGTGCACACGCTGCTCTTTTGTTCACAGGGTATTATCAGCCGGCTGGTCCACTGATACAGCACCCACCGCCACCACCACCAACCTTACCGCCCATTAAGGGCCCACCTCCGGAACCGACACCCACGCCTCCCCAAAACTCAGAGGGTTCAGACGACCTGGTCGCCACTTCCACGACTTCGGGAGGCACAAGCAGTACGGGTATGTTACTGATAATCAATGCTAATTAAAGATATATCGCAATCAGAGAGAAGAGAGACCTTTTCTATCATGTCTTTTTTTTACAAAACAATATTTAATGTTGAGATATTCTACAAGCTTTCGCATTAACAATTACAATATTTTTTAAATTTTTACATAAAAAGTTACAATAACTTTTTTATAATTTAATATATTTTCTCAATCTCTTCGTGTATCAATTCTCAATTCTCAATTTCCAATTCTCAATTCCCAATTCTCAGTTCTCAATTCTCAATTCCCAATTCTCTATTCTCTATTCTCTATTCTCTATTCTCAATTCCCAATTCTCTATTCTCAATTCCCAATTCTCAATTCTCAATTCTCACAATAACTTGAGAAGGCTAACAATAAGTTGAGATCGTAATTTCTGTTAAGATTAAACAAATCTTGAATTTTTTTAGAATTTATTTCTTGCAAAAGTTTTTTTTTCTCGATAAATATATTGATATTTTCAAGTAACTTTTTGCTAGAAAAAGCTGCAAGTTATATAAGATAGTTGATGTACGATTGACGTCTATCTTTTTTAGGGCAATCTCCGCAATTTCATATATCAGACAGTTTTGCTCTCTCGATTTATCAGATAGATTTGCCACTGAAGCAAATGTCGTCATACGTCTCGCTAGGGCAATGTATCACTAGACATATATCAGATCTCGCATTTACATTAATGATTTTATCGTGCAGCGCTCAACATAACATGGTTATCTATACTGGAAATGCATTAATGAGTGGCCGTGCAGGTGCATATTAAGATTGCACATAAGTGGTGCATGAAGGAAAACGTCGGAAAAAAAAAGATCGTACCTAGCTCGACCTTCCATTCCTTCGTTTTCTTTTATTTCGCGTTTCTAGAATTTTTTTTCGCGTTCTACTTATGTTCCGTCAGCAATTTTTGGATTCTTTTTTCGTGAATTTCAGCGAAATGAGTCGCGTTACGGAAATTCATGAAAATTCGCTGACGATGAAATGGGATATTCCTGTGTGACGTCGCGCGATCTTAATGGAAATTCTTTTTTCTGCGTGCCAGAAATAGATTATGAATTCATATACGTAAAACAAATGTCCTGACTAAATTACTGACTGACTCATCAACGCCCAGCCCAAACCCACAAATTTAGAAACATGAAATTCGGGGAGTATATTCTTTCCATGACGTAAGCAATAACAATAAGAAGGAATTTTTAGAAATTCGACCTCTAAGGAGGTGAAAAGGGGTAAAATGTGTTTTCACGGATTCCTCAATATCTCCTAGGTCCGATGAGATATCGATTTGGTTTTTGATTCAAAGTAGTTACGTACCGTAGCGAAGCACGGGTATCAAGCTAGTGTGTTATAAAAGCGGGACGCCGCATTAAAATGCAAAAAGTGATGTGCATTAGTGGTTTTTAAATAGGACAAAAACGTCGGGGTCGGTTTAAGATTGAACCATGAGAGCGTGTATTCTAAGTTTTTTACGCGGTGCAAATAGTATGTCGCGCTACGATATTAGCGTGTTATAAGCGACTCTAAATCATGCGGTGCATTGACGTGAGCGCAGGGATCTAATAGCGCGAGCACTCACGGGTTTAATTGGACGGAGATATCAGTCTCTTCGATAATATATAGCGCTCGCTACCTTCGAGCGCTATATTATCAAGCTGTCGATTATAGCACGTCAGTGCCAAGATTGTCCTTCGTTACTGATAACTTCGGTACTATCGGAGTCAAATATGTAATATAAGCTTGGGAGTGATCATTCTTTAGATAGAGCAGCTCTTTCGGCGGAGATCGATACTGCGCATATAACTAAATTACTATGTCATATCGTACAACTTTTTCAGTCACATATTACTTCACTGGATTTTTAAGCAACTACTACTATTTGCCTGAAATTATCAGCTTAATATCTTTCACTCTTTGTTTTGGAGATTTAAGGGCCACTTCGACCAACGCCGATTAACTTTAATCGACGATTAACTCAATCAGCAGTGTCGCCAACAACAAGATATTTGTCGTTGTGTATGTCGTTCTTAACCAATCTTTTCAAATATTATACTACTTCTCTTTAATTTGAATAAAGGTGTTTCGAT